GYGGGMMGSRWAKKWTWAAAATTTAATATTAAACAATRAATTTGAKTCTTTAGGCTCATGTGAAATTATCATTTATCGTTATCTCGGGCACACCTATAATATTTCGGACTTCAACAAACTTTTATATGAAAGATATTTAAGAATATATAAACATCAGTTACATCAAACAGTTCTTCTCACTCCATATTTTCTTCGAAGTAATTATACATATTTTCCGCTATACAATAATCCTGTTATTTAATTTCTTTTTTTTCAAAACTTTAAAAAGTCTTTATATTTTTTTTCAAATAAAATAGGGGGGTGGCTAGCCACCCAATCCACCCCCCTGGATCTGCCCTTGGGATGGTTTGGGCATTGTTTGTATTCTATGCTTAGTTCTTTGTTAACAACACATCACATTACAGCATGGCTACTAGTAGTTAAAATACTGGTCTGCACCCCTTTTTTAACCAAAAACCCAAAACAATAAACTTACAACATACTGTATGACCTTAAGTTAAAACAAAATACCTTCTTCYTCAAGATCCATGTCAATGGAAGCATCACGAGCGTCTGACCATTGCCTTTTATTGGCACTTTTAGCTGATTTTTTGTTGATAACTGCCATCTGATCAAGCCTGGCCCTGTGCCACCTGTTCATTTCATGTATACTTTGATGAGGTGACATGGGAGGATACCCAAACTCACGACTTCTGTCTRTTACACCTAAGCAATCAAAAAGTTCAAGACAAAGATAAAATCATATAAAATTATCAATTTATCAAATATATGCCATGAAATAACATAGGTTACCAGCATAAATGTAATTTCAAATAGGTTTTCCTTTCAAAAATGTCTAGGAAATATTGTAGCAGATAAGTTACTGCTGTTTGCATTGTTATGCAACCAGTCCAYATAAAATCTCATAATTACAATWAGCAAGAGACTGCTCTGGAACCAACTGCCTGTTYATACTAATGTTATCATCATCAGAATCATCACATACCTTTTGGCAAAGGGCAATTGAATCCTGGATACTCAACAAAAGCCATTTCCTTAGTCTGACAATCATCTTCATCTATATCCTCCATTACATAGTCCTCAACAACTCCATCAGCATTATACAGAAGGAGTGTTGAATTACTTGCACTGGGTATATACCCAGGGGGGTACCCTAGTTGGCGCATTTTGTATATGTAAGGGGGAAGTTCATCTGACCTAAGACCCAGTGCTTCTCTTAATGTAGAGCTTATGATCCCTGGCTTGAAGCTTCCAAATCTTTTCTCATCCAAGTGGTACCGTTTATCTTTGGCAAAAGGTGATGAGAACTTTTTAATAAATTGTTGTCGCATTGAGTCGATTCTTGCTAGGTTCTGTGGCTCTGTGCAGTCGCTAAGATTATGCCCAACACTCCCACAGTTAAAACATGCCTTTTTGCGTTTGACTTTGACTTTGCTTGAGCCATCAGTCTCAGAAGGGACAGCWGTAAAGAAGACCTGTTCGTAAAGGGGTATTTCCCAGCCTTCGTTGCAGCCTGATGTYTAGTTAATGACYGGGAGACCACAAGAGTCAATGCAATAGATGTCAAAGTACTGAGTATAGTTGAGCAGTGTGTCATYTCTTGTAATTTCCTTAGAATCYCCAGAKTTTRCTCCGTCAMCARMGTGTACAAAGTCATTTATCGTGGATAATGAAGGCTGCAAACTACTTACAGAAATAGATTCATTTTCGTCCGCAGAAGGCTGTTGCCCATTGTTCAATTCAGAAGAAACTGCAGARAACGTTTMCAGGTAATACTCCAGTCTTTGCCGGCCTTCCGTGGATGTTTTGTTGTTAAAAAATACTGCATGAAAAAGGGGTTTTTCTTGAGTGTTCACATGTTGACCTACTGGAACTAGCAGCTTGTTTATCAAGTGTCTGAGGCGATTATTTTCATCTTGCAAAGCCTTTATGCTCACCGAAGGTAACATTTCCGTAGTTTCTTCCTGATACGACGAAAAGTCCCCAGGCCGCTGCGAAACAGCATCAAATTCCGAGAAAAGTAGGTCTTCGTCGAACTCCATCTCGTCCGCCATGTTGGATAAATGGGGCGCAGAGGATTATGGTATTTGGCGCGAATGGTCGTATCCACAGGAAGCCCACGCAATAGCAAAGATAGTCTACGTTCATTTTATTCAATGTTGAATGAATTGTTGACCTCTCAAATTCACGCCTCGTGTATTAAAGTCAGTTTGTCGTATAGAGAGGGTGAGAAAATTAATAGTTGGTGACATCTATTTTTTAAATATTTTTCTAAAATATTTAGGATACTACGCGCGCCGTGATTGGTCGAAAACCATGTTTGATTACAGTATCAAAACACGCTCGCGCACGTCAAAAATTTCTTTTTTTCTTTTAATTTTAGAAAAGAAATAAAAGACGAAATTCCGTGTTTGATACTCTGATCAAAACACTTGGGATGTAGGGAGAGCACTCGAAAAGCTGGAAACCACTCCGCTACGCGTCGTGGTTTCCTACGCTTCTCTCGTGCTCTCCCTACATCCCGCGTGTTTTGATCAGAGTATCAAACACGGAATTTCGTCTTTTATTCCTTAAATAA